TGCGGGGGAGTGAATTGGATTTTCATATATTACATTGTTGACTTAGGGAAGGGGGGCTAGGACTTTTGACATTTGTTTGCGCTTGCGCAGTTAGTTTGTTTTCATGTGATCAGAGAGAACGTTAGCCATTGTTAGCCATATTTCATTCTTTTATATCTCGCTAAATTTGAGACTATCTGTTACCGTTTTAAATAAATATTGAAGAATTGTACACCAATCTGTTGAAGTTTTATTATTCGGTGAGCAGGGTTAGCGAGATTCGATTTAATTACCCCCCCCCCCCTTTACTTGTGCAAAAATATGTTGTTTGGTTACACCAATTTGCTTTTTATGAATAAAATTATCATGTCCTTTTACAAATAATTTACTAATTACGCATCATAAAAGAAAAATAGAATAATGTCAGTTCTGAGAGAAATTACATTTTCCCACAAAGAAATATATATGTGAATTCTCTCCACATGCATATCCACATTAGTATATACCACAAAGTCAGTCCATTCTAGCTAAGTTTAAAATGTTTACTACACCTTGACACTGGTAGTAATAGGCATGTTTTTCTTTAAACTTCCAATCATTTTCAGTTTGTTTTAGGAAGAATCTTGTACTGCTGGGTACAGCTTCAGAGATATTTAAATCTTTGCTTGCACATGGGCATTTAATTTCAACAAAGGCAACAGGAACCCCACCTTTTACTGCAACACCATCTGGGTTGCAACCCAGCCATGGCCACTTTGGACTTACTACAAGCCCACAACTTCTGACAACACCATCTCCTTTCAGCATGTCCTCTTCATACTTTAGGTTTGCCTTAATTTCATTATCAATGCCCCATTGCAATGGTTTTGGTACCGTAGCTAGTGGTTTATTATGTTGTGTTGTAATTGATTTAACCAATGAATAACGATACATGGATTTTCTTCTGTTTATTACTTTTCCAAAAACCGAAGCTGCGACTCTCTTAGACCCGTTCTGGGTACCATTGAGGATTTTTGCTTTGCTCCATTGTGTTTAAACAAATCTCCTTTGTAGAAGATATTGTTAAGCCAACTGTTCTTTCCACAAGTTCTAACTGTTGCTGGTTATAATTTGCTGGTGGGTGATAATCTTTAGGGACATTTTGAAACAATTTTTCAATCAACAGGCTTTCTAGTGTCTGGCTGGGGGGAGATTCATCCTGTTGGTGTTTTCTTTTTTGCTGACTGCATGAAGTCTCAAAAACTTCGAAAGGCTTGTAAGCATTTGACTCAAGGGTTTTGCAGAATAGTGATGCCTGGTCAGCGTTCTTAAAAGCATCAGCCATACTTTTAATCTCCTCATCTGTGACAGTCTGCGCAAATGGTGGGATAGCACAGTAATTCTCTCTATCCCCCTTTACCACATACCTTTTGTTTGTTTGTTTTTTCACATCAGTTTTTTCAAATAAAGCTCCCCAAACTTTACAGCTATATCCAAAGTCTTGGAGCAACCATGAGGAAAATTCCACTTCTGGGGAAGCTGCGTACATGTAAGTTCTACTGGAATGTTTTGCATGTTCAGTTGGTAAAGTCCAAAATGCTGTATAAAAGAGCAGCCGCATGTTTACAACAACCTCCCTGGCTTGCTTTACAGCAACAGTTACAGTAGCATAATCTGCATGCTTCACCGTTACTTGGTTAAGATGGACATAAAGTTGATAACTGGCACTTTTCATAGATGCACTAACACGCGGTTTAACCAAGAATAACAACTTTGAGATTGAAACATTAAGCTTGACAGCAGTGTTTTTGACATACCCTTCCTTCCACAGGCAATGCCTTGGAGCTACAGTATTCCGTCGGGCATGGTACGGCTGTTCTTCACCAGCTTATTCTCCAACGAGTGAACGGAGGCAGTTTGGTTAACGATTTTGTCCAACCTTTATCGTTGGCGTAGAGGACGTTTTGCTTCGTCTGGAGCGGTTTTCGAGGCAGAACGTATAATCAAGCAGTTTATTGCCATTATTTCTAGGGCTGTCAAACCTCCGAAGACCCGTGCAAGAGTTCTGAAAAGAACTAGAGTCTTCATTGGCTTGAACAGCTTCTAAAATTTTGAATTGTCTAATTTTCCCGGGCGATGACTACTAAGACCAGCATTCCTCTCGGGCATCATTATGAATAAGGTCTATTATACGAAACTACAATGAGCTGGAGCTCAATCCAGTGGTGTAGTCCAGGAATGTTAAGGAGATGGGCTCTCCAAAAGTACGCCGAATTGGCGGGGGAGGGGGCTATGTTTACAATATGTTATTTTGGAAATCCTCAGTTTTGTTGGTGTTTTTTTTTCTAGCAATTGTGGGACAAATATTCAAAATTATTCTTATTAGAAACAATTGCCGTTAGTAATAGAAATATTCGGAGCGTTTCAAATTTGAGGTTTCTGTACCACTTTTTGAAGATGTAAAGCTGGTGGTGTACCTTCAAGCGAAAATTACATTCAGTGGTATGATTGGTTAGCGAAAAGAAATTGCCGTGAAAAATATGACGCGGTGAACTTCCCTTCCACCAAACAATTTCGCCCATGCAGTGGAAAAGCGAGGTTCAGCAAATATGAAAATTTCTGGCTGGGACTGATTCCTGGTCTAAATTTTCCATATTGCTAACAGCCTAATATTTATAAACTGTAACATATATTTAATAAAAATATCTTGGAGAAAACCTCTCTGATAGCAACTGAACATAAAATCAACAAAACTTAAAACACTCAAGTGAAGCCGCTCTGGACAGAGTTCAAATCATACAAACAGTATCGGTTCTTCAACAGCCGATTTGCTGTGGCGATGAACAACGCGATTAAAGTAAATGCAATTCTAAAGAACATTCTCGTTTACTGTTAAGATTATGCAACATGTAAAAATATAGTGGGCTCAACATGAAATTTTAACAAGCCCCCTGACTCTCCGCCCCCCCCTGATCCTCCCCAAATTAACATAAATTCAGACAAAAACATATAACAAACACGTCTGTTTAGTTTCCGGACCATCAAATCTTGATAGACTGGCCGTGAATTTACATTAAAAGATACAGCATTCTATAGCTTGAGCAGACAACACTATTCTCGTTCTATTCGCACAGTGCTGAGCGATCGGGTACAGCACCGGGTGACAAGATTGGTACGTAGATTCTAAAAACTTTATTATTACAGCACACACTTAAATCCATTCCTTGTAAGTTGTATAGTAAACACGTTCGAACTACAAACGTTTTACTTGCCTGTGTCTGTTGACCAAAGTTTCAAAAATGTTCACCCTTTGATCCGCCAGATAAACGTTCAAGTTTTTAAACGTTCCTGAATTATGGCCGGCTTTTCAAATTGCAGAATATATAAACTAGGTCATTCAAAATCGGCTTGTTATTCCTATTTCCTACTGATTAGCATACTGTATTTCACATTGATCAGCTGGTTGACTACAGACAAACAATATAGAGCAGGGCTGGCGACTGCTATCAGATGAATATGGCACGATTGCAACACACAAACGCCGGTTCTCAGAAAAGCAGAAAGCTGCTGTTCCCAGCGTTAACGTAATAAATATCAATAATAAATTAATAATATAACAGCCAAGGATTCAATATTCAAGAACGCACGTCTCGTTTACATTATAAAATTGATATGAGATAAGATGATTAATATATAAAATTATAGCAAATGTGCATAGTGCATATAGTTCGAACTCGTACGTGTGCGTGTCTTCTTTTACCCTCGCTTTTACCTTATCTGGCAAAAGCTGATCCAGTAATGTATTATCTTTATCAAGTATTATTTTTATCCCACAGTTTCTTGGCTCTTTTAATACTTATCTCTTTAATGTTCAAGCTTATCGATACATAACGATTTCAGTCGGAATTCGAACACGATTTACGAATTTGCTATATAACTATAGTGATAGTGATAATGATAGTGAACTTTACTTAATTAATTAAGCACGAAGAACAAGGCCGGCGAGAGGCAATCACTTAGCACTCCTTAGCACTCCTTAGCACTCCTTAGCACTCCTTAGCACTCCTTAGCACTCCTTAGCACTCCTTAGCACTCCTTAGCACTCCTTAGCACTCCTTAGCACTCCTTAGCACTCCTTAGCACTCCTTAGCACACCTTAGCACATCTTAGCACTCCTTAACACTCCTTAACACACCTTAGCACACCTTAGAACTCCACAGCACCCCTTGGCACTCTTTGGCACTCCTTGGCATTCCTTGGCACTCCCTGACACTCCTTAGCACTCCTTAGCACTCCTTAGCACTCCTTAGCACTCCTTAGCACTCCTTAGCACTCCTTAGCACTCCTTAGCACTCCTTAGCACTCCTTAGCACTCCTTAGCACTCCTTAGCACTCCTTAGCACTCCTTAGCACTCCTTAGCACTCCTTAGCACATGTTAGCACTCCTTAACACTCCTTAGCACACCTTAGCACACCTTAGCACTCCTTGGTCTCGTTGGCACTCCTTGGCACTCCTTGGCATTCCTTGGCACTCCTTAACACTCCTTAGCACTCCTTAGCACTCCTTAGCACTCCTTAGCACTCCTTAGCACTCCTTAGCACTCCTTAGCACTCCTTAGCACTCCTTAGCACTCCTTAGCACTCCTTAGCTTCCTTAGCACTCCTTAGCACTCCTTAGCACTCCCTAGCACTCCTTAGATCTGTGTAGCCTTCCTTAGACCTCCTTACACTCCTTAGCACTCCTAGCCTTCCTTAGACCTCCTTACACTCCTTAGCACTCCTTAGCACTCCTTAGAGCTGCGTAGCCTTCCTTAGACCTCCTTAGTACTCCTTATCACTCCATAGCACTTCTTAGCCCTCCTTACACTAGCACTCCTTAGTAGCACTCCAGGGCTCAATATAACGGCCGGTCAACGGACAATGGCCGGCCAAAATTGCCTCTTGACCGCTCACTTTTTTACCTCACCGGTCATTTTGACCGGCCGCATTTTATACCTTTCCGTAGAATTTTAAATCGTTTTTTCTCCTCAGCATATGATGTCTGCTGAAATATTGTCAGAGAAAAACTATATATTTCATCGCGGGTACGCAATTTCACAGTAAGTACGTCGACTTACGTACGACAAAATTTGCAAAGACTGTCTATATAATTATAACGTGTGAAGTTTATTACCCAATATTGAGCTTGTTGCATTGTATGTATAGTAAAGTTACATAATTTTATTTACCTGACTGGCTGACATGTGCAATTTATTGATAATTCGCATGGCTCCATCAAAAGTAAAATTTTATTTGTTTTGATCAACTGTAATGTTAGTCACGTCATGCGGTGGTATCAGAAATAGTAAATTAGAGTGATGATGATTTAGATCAAATTGAAAATTTACTATCTTAAATGTATTTTTCAAATTAATCAAATTGATTTTAAAACACTTAATTTTGAATTAGCATTCGTTTTGTTGATACTTGTTTTCCCTACCTATTCCATACGATAAGATTTATCCGAAAGCACTGACTGGATTAACGACGATAACGTTACCTGTTCAGCTTTATATAGTGATTGCTAACGTCTTAAGCGTTTAAAACATGACAAAGCAATAAAAGTTGTCTCGAGACAAATTTCTTATAATGGATCGTCTCTGCAAGGGTCTTTAGTAAAATTTATTCTAAGTTCTTTGTATTTTGCAGAATTTTATTGAAATTTGTTATTATTTGACCAATTAGCCACTTGATCAACTATATCTTGTAAATTGCTATTTTCAGTTCTAGGGATGACCTCCGAAATTGTGGAGTCATCTGCCAATTTCCACATCTTGTTTGTTGAATTCTCTGAAACGCTCAAATCGTTTATCATAATGACGAACAACCATGGTGCTAATTTGGTCCCTTGAGATACCCCTGCCTGGACTTGCAGTAGGCCTACATTGGAATGGCACTTATAATCCAATTTGATTCTTTGGGTACGCTTACGTAAGAAGTTAGTAATCCAATTGGTGACTGATGGTTTAATTCCGTAGTTAATAAGTTTTGTTATAAGAAGGTTATGGTCCACCAAGTCAAAAGCTTTCCTAAAATCTTTTACAACAACTTTCATCGTAGAACCTGTTCCGTCTGTTGCGGCCAACCAGTTATGTAGCATTGAGATAATTGCATGAGTTGTACATGATTTAGGAATAAAGCCAAATTGATGGGGATCTATTTTATGTAAAATCTTAGGTTTCAGTTCGTGGTCGATTACAAACCCTTCCGCGATTTTCGATAGTGTAGACGTCAATGATATTGGTCTCAGGTCTTTGTTGAAGTCAGTTATGCTCGATGTTTTAGGGATGGGTGATACGTCAGCCATCTTCCATGCCTGTGGAACCGTACAGTTACGAAATGAACAATTTAAAATGTCTGTAATGGCTGGAGCTAAGATATCAGCATATGTTTTTAATACCCAATTTGGAAATTTGTCTGGACCATTTGCTCTGGATATACTTATTTTGCGTAACTTCTGCTGAACAGATGTCAGGCTAACTTGTATAGGGTCATCTTGCTCTTGGGTTACATGAACATTGTCTGTTAAAGGGGTATAATCTTTTGTGACACTAATAAAGGCTTCGTTTATCATATTAGCCAGTACTTGGTCAGAACAATCGTTGTTTATCCTTAGGATAGAGCTAAGATCTTTACGGTTTGTTGTTTTGCAGCCACAGAGTTGTTTTCGCGCCACCATTAGGCTTAGTATTTTTG